CCAGGGGCACATATCACCGTGTTGATCTCCTGGATTTTGTGTTTAGTTGCTTGGCTGTCTCCTTCAATCACACAACAACAATCCCACTGATATAAGCCAACATGCACAAGAAACAAACTCTTCACAGTGACGTCTTCACTAATTTATTACATTGTCACACAAATTTACTGTTATACAAGACTGTATATTTTTTCAACTAAAAAAAAAAAAATAGCTATATTTAAAAAAAAAAAATTAATTAAAAATGAAACCATAATACAAAACATTGAGTCCAATCATATTCTGGAAATAAAGGTAATCTTAACAGTCCCATTCTTTCCCTCCAGGTCATGAGATAAGACATACTATGGAGCTGAGCTCAAAAGGTCACTGGGAGTCAAAGGTTATAGTTGTTATTGTGGGTTCAGTTGGCGTGCTGTGCAGATGAAAAACACAGTTTAAGAGTGTATGGGTAAGGCCCGCCTGAGGAAAAAAAAAATAGATAAGATTTAAGGAACAATGTGATTTATGTTTACGCAAACAGCTCATAAACTTAGAACAGTATAAAAACGCGCAGCAGCCAGCCAAGTAGTTTCACTTACTAGGGTTCTTCATCTGGTAGTGGTTGATCAAAGCAAGAGCCTCCATAGCATCATTTACCGACTCCCACTCCAACAGACCAGATGAACTTCTCTCACCTGAGGTTCCACCAACACAAGAGCACACACACATACACGTGTATTTTACGCAGAACCAAACATACACCACCGATACACTTTACCATATAATTCACACACAGTAAACTGACTGTTTATATACAAACACATTAAAGTCATTAGTAACTCACTCTTCCCAGTGAACAGTTTGACGCTGACTGGATTCTTGATTTCCAACTCATCACAAATCTGTAGATAAAGGTCCAGAAAAGATTATTAAACTCTTAATTCCACACACACACATACATTTTTAAAGCACAAGACACTTCACAAACTCGCATAAAAAAAACAAAAAAAAAACATTTGCACATATAAATCAAACACAGATCAGTCGTGTGTAAGATGATTACACAGAAATACTTTGAAGGCAGACTTTGCCCGGGCATTTAAGAATGACCATAAAAACATTTCAGATGCTGTGAAACGAGATCGGTCCGCTGGTTAGTCAGGATTTGCCATCCCATAGTGCAAAGTCACATGACTTTTTTGATGCGCTTGGAGGAATTTATTCGCAACATGCATTTCCATCTCCCATTATTCGCATTAACCCTTTTTCACACAAGTCAAAATCCACCTCAAGCGAGCGTAAAAACTTTTTTGCGAATTAAGGCATTTTTATTCGAAATTCAGCATTTCCATCTCTCGATTCTGATGCGATACTTCAAAATGCACATAAAAGCCGGGTGATGGAAACCCAGCTATTGTGTCGCCTGTCAATGACGTCATACACCCTCGATTTCCGGTTTTGTTTTGTAGAAAACACCAAAGACGCTTTAATATGTTGTTCGTTTTATTAGACAGGTGACGACCGCACAGAGTAGCATTATAACAGAACTTTCAAATGTATCTAGTATGATAAAACAGCGCT